GGAGGCACGTCCTTAAATGACCTTAGCTGTTAATAGGACATTAAATAAAATTAAACTAAACCAAACCAAACACAAAAAAAAAAATCATACAGAGTAGTAAGCTAGGATATCGATATTTACGACAAAGACCATGGAACTATGTAGTAATTAGTTATATTCTCATCAGTACACATGTTCAGTAGGTATACATACACCACCATATACATTTCATTCGATTAATATGTATTACAGTTTACCAATGTACTTTTCCAAGTTTACAATATGAAATTGAGAATAGAAACTACGAAGATTCGTTTAAACGACCACCTATAGTAGATATTGTTTAATTTGTGGAAGGAAGTAGCAGAAATGAATGACATTACCAGAGCTTTCGTGTCTGTTGTTTCTGATGAGCTCATACACAGATCCAGGTACATCAGGCAACCAAACAAACACAGCAGTGCATGGCCTTTCATCCTCCTAGACTGTTCACTGAACATTCGTCACAAAATATTTAGGATATAAAGACACACATTCTATGCATTATTAAGGAAAACGAAACTTATAGTAGCACATGCGAATTACATATACAAAATTATGCCGATTTGATCATTTATGGTACTTTACAACAGCTGTGCAACTAGTACCCTAAATATAATGACATAAATAAGCTTATTGGATCGACAAAAATGATCATGAGCAAAAATTGTTCGTCTTATCTATGACCGAGTGTACCCTTGTATAAACGGCGATATCACACTCACCTGAGTTTACCACCACTCTGTGTGCTGTTAACGGCCTGTAACGCTACCCCTTACGCTACCCCTTATCGATCCAATTTTTAGAAACCACGCCCATGTTAACATGAGTAGTTTTCATTGGTTTAGCGTATGAATTGAAATCAGGTTACTGATAAGAGCATGTAGGAGTTTTTTTTGTCACCAATTTCTCTGTAATGATAAAGGTGTTTGAGCAATGAAGGCCATACAGGTAAGAAATATAATTTACGGTAATATGCAAAGCAGTATTGTTATAAAACCTGTTTTAATACGTTTACATATATTGCAATATAGAAGTTATATGAACATACTTTCTAGATATATAAGACTAAACCAATTAAAACGTCCTGAATACTTTTCGACCAAATAAATGATACTTATATTACGTATAACCACAGTCTGAAAAAAGTTCCAAAGTTTCATTTACTGCTATGGTATTTTTATGTTAAAAGATCATGAATTTCAACTCATATTTTAGTTCGCAAATAATGTGTAATTTGTGCCTCTTCAATGTCATCATCAAGGAAGCGTCATTGTCTACTTTAAAGATGGCATGTTAATGATGAAAATTCAGTTAGTTTCAAAACAACCTTTATAAAAACCGTTGAGTTCCATCTTCTCAACTGTAAAATGTTTAAAATGCGTTATGTCTGTTGATTCGTAGTTTCAAGGTTTTCATTTTTTTCTGGAATAAATTGTGAACCATTTGACACCACACGATGAACAGTCCTATCCCATTCTTCCTAAATATTTGCTAAATGTCAACTTTAAACAAAATCGTTTGATGAATTTTATGTTCAGAATTATCACATTTAAAAGGTTATATTTACATTTAATAGACATTGCTGATAGCGAGTTTGACAACAGAGCTTGTCATAGCAGGAAGAACCTTCAAGTGGAGTCTGTGTCATTGTAGCTTCAATCCCTGGCAGAGCTGGAGCCAGTGTACGGCAACATGTGGGGGTGGGCGTCAGAGGCGTGAACGTTCTGTGCAAATGTATACAAACGCAGTTTGTCGAACTTTCGAAGATTGTGCTTCCAATGACAATGGGTTCGACTTTCGGGATTGTAACAAAATATGTAACAACGGCGGTACGATGGTAGGTTCGTCGTACTGTAGGTGCCCAGACGGATGGAGAGGAACGTGCTGTGGTGAAAGTGAGTCTTTTATTTAATAAGTGTAGAATGTGTGCATCAATAGGCACCTGATGATTGGTATATTATCTGATCGAGTTATGTATCTCATTTGATCTAATCAGACAGACATTACAAAAAATCTAAATTAAGCACAAAAAAAAAAAATATGCACGTACATGCATTTGTCTCGATATAAGGTTATTTCTTCTAAACTGCTGGATTCTTATTTTCTAAAAACCCAAGTATGAAAAACGATTTGAGTAGCCATTGTTTTTAAGATTTCTTCATCTTAGATATTGTTTTAATGGTTTTAAAATAAAAGTAGATGTTTTAATCAAAATTTAGTGAGGGGGGACTTACTGTAAATAAATGGTTATGTACTTATAGTTGATTGCTTAACAAATCCATAAATATAAGTACAGCAACATATGATTACTCTATTCTGTTACTAGAGGTTACATGTGGAGACCCCGGAGCTCTGACAAATGGACAGAGGCATTGTAATTCGTTTGATTACGGCAACAGCGTGACATATACGTGTACTCACCTGTACAACATGACGCGAGGGTCGAGTGTAAGGACATGTGACAAGTACGGCCGATGGACAGGGTATATGCCTCGTTGCGTTTGTAAGTATACAATTTATAACGAATATTCTTATACATATTTATATAATCTTATTCATGTGCAAGTGTGCCTTTGTAAATTGATAGAATAGTGACAATATGAAGAGTTTTGAAACATAAAATGCCATATCATAGCAGGTTAACAAACACGTATAGAGTAAATTTACTTGAGTTACACAAAAAGATACATTTCGTATAAAATACATTAAAAAACAATAAACAGTTACTTGTTAGTACTTAATATAAATGTAAAGGAGTATAAGCATGGAACTTTTAAACAAATTTTCACCATTGTATAACCAATAAAAATATCTCTTTCTGATATATGTAACTAGCTAACGAGTCTTATTACGCAACATTATATTTTTGTAGTCGTCAATACCTGTCTCAGTAATCCCTGTCAAAACGGAGGCACGTGTGTAGATGGCCTAGACAGGTATGATTGTCAGTGTTCACCAGGTTGGAGCGGAGTCAATTGTGAACGAGGTAATACGTTATTTCAGGAGAGGTCACAACTTACTGTAAAAGATTAGGTCAATACAGAAAATACATTATTGAAAAAGGTAGATTTGGGGTGTCGGTAGGGAAAATATGATATGCATTTTAGTAACACTTAATTAAATTTGTAAGAAAACAAATTTCGTATTAGCTGGTCAATCATTTCCAAATGACTGGAAAAAGGCGAAAGTTATTGGAGTTATCATGCAAGTGGATGAACTAAAAAGAACATGTGATAGATAATCATGCTCTAGAACAATTATTTTTTTCCGAAATGTATTGAATAGTGAATACATCTAGTTACAATGAAGATTTGAAATTGTACGTGATGTCATCAACAATGTCCTTTTTCCCCAACCAGATATTCAACCGCCACTTATGACTGACTGTCCTTCTAATATGAAACTATTTGTGACCACACCTACCGTCAATGTTAACTGGTCAATTCCAGTATTTACGGATCCAATGGGAACTTACTTGAAGTTAACCCACAACTACCCAGTCAACCGCTGGGAGTTTCCATGGGGCGACTTTACAGTGCAGTACTCGGCTCTGAAACCGTCGAATGGCCTGAATACTGAATGTTTGTTCAACATAACAATACGTCGTAAGTTAACAAATTACCTGTATGAAACAATGGCACCTAAAATTATGAAACAGACGGAGTAAAGTATAAGTACGTAACACAATTTGAACACATAGGAAAATCAGGAATTCGAATTTTACACAAAGTTACCAAAAGAGGAACGTTGGATACACAAACACAAACAATAAGACTCATTCATACTTATTTTTGTGTAAAAAAAGTTGTATCGATAATAAATGATGACTTTGCAGCACATCCATGTCCTACCCTGAATGTCCCAACCGGCGGTGCAAAGGTGTGTAATGGTTGGAAAAGCGACTTCGGGGAGTACTGTATGATATTTTGTGATGTCAATCATGACGTTTATCCAGGAATTGACGTCAACCAATGGTATGTCTGTGGTGCAAGTGGCGCATGGAAACCGAGTGCCAAACTTCCAGACTGTGGAGGTAAGACCTTGATACGAAGGAAGTGAGGAAGACAGCTTGTACATCTTTTTGTTTTGATAAATATCGTTTAAGGATTTTAAGATAAATCCGGTAGTTAAATGATCGGAGTCAGTGTAGACTTTAAACTATTTAAGTAAGAACTATAATCTGATATTTG